CAATGTACCGGAAAACTTTTCATCCGGTGGGACAGCGAGGATTCTTGGCCCTCCTATAACATAAAACGCACTTCTGTGCTCTTGAGTTTCCCTATAAGAACTTTTATTGGCATACGCATCGCACCAATGTTGTAGTTGCAAGATCATACAAAAAGATTACGCATGCCTGGCAGAGATCTCACAGGTGGAAATAAGACCATCAGTAAAGCTCATGACACCAAAAGGGATTGGTATTCCATATGGTATCACAGCGTTACTATTATTGGCCAATGTGTGAGGAGGATACTGCGCCTTAGTGGTTTCAATTTAAATCAAAAACTTTGACTTTACAGACTAATTTTGTTTTTAAACACTCTTGCATTGGCTAACGCAAAAGCTCTTATTAGGCGCCGCGAAGTAAGCGGGCATGGGCTAGTTTTTAATAAAATTCCTCCAAATATGCCACACAAATATGATTTTTTGTATAAATGCAATTCATCTGGCAGTCGAAAAACAATCTTTCTAATAAAGACTGAAAGTAAAATAATAAAAAAACAAGCAAAATTTCAACGCGTAAATACATTTATTTTAATTCTTATTTTGCATCAACTTTTGAAAAAAACAAATTAAACGTTTACAATTTTACGTGTACCAATAAATACAAGTGCAGAGAATCAAAAGAAAAGTAAAAGGTAATGGGTGACACGCAGGGTAATAGTAGTTTCTAAATTTCTAGGTAAGTCAAGTCAAGTATAAGTGTCGCATAACCGGGCTTTAGCTTGTGCATAAGCATCGTCAACGCTGACATTGACGGCGACGCAATGAATGTTATGTACTTTCACTTTTAAGGGCTGTTTCCAGCTCTCAAGAAAAACAAAAAATTCATATAAAATTGCGCATAAGAAATGGAATAGTAATTTTCTTTTATCAGAATTGTTTAAATCAGTTTGCAACTCTCAAGAAAAAAATGCAAAATCAATGTGTTTTTTCAAGCAACAGAAAAAATTAAAAATATGTCTTGAGATTTTTCCTGAGAGCTGGATTCTTATCTTTACCCCAAAACCATTTGAAGTCATAAAGTACATGTTGTATGGGCATGAGCAATTTTGTGATAGTAAATTGCCGGTGTGCGTGAATATTAGGTTGACCTGTAAGACTTATCTGAAGATACAACCGAAGCGGAGTTTATGAAAATTAATTGGTATGAACTATTTAAGGTCACTTTTTTCGGACTAATTTTTGTCAACCTATTTTGTATTTCTACTCTCTGATAGCCATTCTTACTGAAAGTATATTGCCTCATGAAGTGACTTGCAATTATCACATACATATATGCAAATATCATAATAGGTTAAAACTTTAAAACTGTTCACGCTGTTATAAAATAGAATTTTAAAGAAAATACTTAGCACTAATTATTATGTAAAAATATTTGTGAATTAAGCTGCATTTTTTCTTTTCGCTTGAAGAAAGGAATCTCGAATTTCTTTTATTATATAAATATATGTATAGACTTACATGCTTTTATTCTTATAGGTGTACGCCATACTAACCCATGGAATTTTTTCCGGACCGGCGATTTCACGGATTAATAATGCTTGCTTCGAAGCTGTAGTGGTTACAAATACTATACCGCAAGATGGACATATGAGAGATTGTCCTAAAATTCAGGTCTGACTTAATTTTTATCAAATATAACGGAGTCAAGCTAAGTTTTTTTATTATCTTTCAGTGCATTGATGTATCAATGATGTTTGCTGAAGCTGTAAGGAGAACACACAATGGCGAAAGTGTTTCTTATCTTTTTTCAAATGTTCCATATTAAATTATATTTACACTCAAATCGTAAACCGCGATTTAGATATGATGTAACTTGTTTATTAATTTGCATAATTTTTTGTTACTGCATATTTTTAAAAAGAAAGATATTGCAATTATAAAAGCAACTTTCATCCACCACTACCGTTTTGAAAAGCAAAGAAAATATAAATATACTAGAAATTTACCTCAAGCCATAAAATATTTTATTGGTTTCATTAATTTCACTGTACAGCACTCGGCTGGGCATTGCACCAAACCAAGTTTTTTTAAGAGACTGAGTCATAAGTAAAAAAAAGTAAGTTATCCTTTCTTCTAAGTTAGCCTCCGAAATCGAGATATGGGGGTTCGAAGTTCGAAATTGGATCTCTGGTAAAAATTATTTTTACTTATTGCATGTAAAAAGCAAAAAAAGTAAAAACACAAAGTGGTCCGCTGATTTCTCTTATTTATATGGTATATAACTTTTTTTGTGAAAATTAATATTACAGGTGCTAATAACGGGTCAAAAGTCAGAACTTTCAAAACTTAAAAAATTAGTATTTCAGAAAATTTTGAATTGATTTTTAAAAGATTCATATCGTTGCAAAGGTGACTTAACCCCCTTTATTGTGATATGCATATTTGTATACTACGTATATAAAAATTTGAGAAAAAACACATTTAAAGAAAAAAGTACCTTTTTTGTATATAAAAATATTTCAAACAAAAATATTGCTGACCGATTTTTAAAAAATTAATATATTGTAAAGGCGATTGAACCCCCTTTCTTCTGATATGCNCCAAAACTTAAAAAATTAGTATTTCAGAAAATTTTGAATTGATTTTTAAAAAATTCATATCGTTGCAAAGGTGACTTAACCCCCTTTATTGTGATATGCATATTTGTATACTACGTATATAAAAATTTGAGAAAAAAACACATTTAAAGAAAAAAGTACCTTTTTTGTATATAAAAATATTTCAAACAAAAATATTGCTGACCGATTTTAGAAAAATTAATATATTGTAAAGGCGATTGAACCCCCTTTCTTCTGATATGCATATTTGTATACCCTGTGAATAAAAATTTGAGAAAAAACACTTAAAAGGAAAATATAACTTTTTTTACAAAAAATATTTTAAACAAGAAAATTACTCACCGATTTGTAAAAAATTGGCATCGATGTTAAGGCGATTAACCCCGTTTCGTCTAATATGCATATTTGTATACCCTGTGAATAAAAATTTGAGAAAAAACACTTAAAAGGAAAATATAACTTTTTTTACAAAAAATATTTTAAACAAGAAAATTACTCACCGATTTGTAAAAAATTGGCATCGATGTTAAGGCGATTAACCCCGTTTCGTCTAATATGCATATTTGTATACCCTGTGAATAAAAATTTGAGAAAAAACACTTAAAAGGAAAATATAACTTTTTTTACAAAAAATATTTTAAACAAGAAAATTACTCACCGATTTGTAAAAAATTGGCATCGATGTTAAGGCGATTAACCCCGTTTCGTCTAATATGCATATTTGTATACCCTGTGAATAAAAATTTGAGAAAAAACACTTAAAAGGAAAATATAACTTTTTTTACAAAAAATATTTTAAACAAGAAAATTACTCACCGATTTGTAAAAAATTGGCATCGATGTTAAGGCGATTAACCCCGTTTCGTCTAATATGCATATTTGTATACCCTGTGAATAAAAATTTGAGAAAAAACACTTAAAAGGAAAATATAACTTTTTTTACAAAAAATATTTTAAACAAGAAAATTACTCACCGATTTGTAAAAAATTGGCATCGATGTTAAGGCGATTAACCCCGTTTCGTCTAATATGCATATTTGTATAATAATAATAATAGATTGGCGCTTACACATATGTTAGTGTTTGGCCGAGCTTCTCCTCCGACTTGTGGTGTGCGCCTTGATATTGTCACACAAAGCGGAGGGACCTACAGTTTTACGCCGACTCCGAACGGCGAATGTATTTTAATGAGAAGCTGTTTTTCATGGCAGAATTACACTCGGAGGTTTGCCATTGGCTGCCGAGGGACGACCGCTGTTAAGAAAAAACATTTTTTCTATATTTTTTTTTTTATGTTGCTTTGACCAGGGCTTGAACCCAGGTGTTGATGAGTGAAAGCGCGCACTGCTTACCACTACACCACAGCGGCCGACATGCATATTTGTATACTGCGTATATAAAAATTGGAGAAAAAACACTTAAAAGGAAAAAGTACCAATTTTTTCTATAAAAAAAAATTTACAAAAAAATTACTAATTAGTATTTAAATAAAATAAATAATGTGCGGTTACAATGTACGCTATCATTCCGCAGAGCCTGGGTCCAAGCCCAGTTTGCGACCAACATAAAAAATAAGAAACAAAANTATTTGTATACTGCGTATATAAAAATTGGAGAAAAAACACTTAAAAGGAAAAAGTACCAATTTTTTCTATAAAAAAAAATTTACAAAAAAATTACTAATTAGTATTTAAATAAAATAAATAATGTGCGGTTACAATGTACGCTATCATTCCGCAGAGCCTGGGTCCAAGCCCAGTTTGCGACCAACATAAAAAATAAGAAACAAAACAGTTTTTTGTAATAGCGGTCGCCCTTTGGCAGGCAAAATGGTAAACCCCCCGAGTGTATTCAGCCACGGAGAACAGCTTCTCATAAAAATTCCATCCCCGTTCGGATTCGGCGTAAAACTGTTGGTCCCTCCCCTTTGGGCACCAACATCAAGGCGCACGCCACAAATCTGAAATAAGTTCGGACAAACACTAACGAAGTTGATGTTCGGATCATTTAACAATGTTGATGTTCAAATTTACACGGGAGATGAATCAATAAACAAGACATACGTATTTGTTGGTACAGGAATATATTTTGAAGATAACAATTTTATACACCGTCTGACTCGCAGTCATCTGAAGTATCCAAGCTCATATCAATATTTAATATTGTTCTATTTCATCATTTCTAATAATAAAAAGTTGTATGATTAGCTGAGAGTTGGTATATCGTACCTGTAATTTTACTACCTTCTCTAACCATGGTTTGTTTTTTACAGAAAGCGTGCAGTTGTTCTGTTACTCTTGACCCATTTTCTTTTTATAGTAGTAAGTAAATCTTTCACTTCACTTATTTCGTCTGGTTGGAGCGTGATAGTTTTATTTTCTTTTTTAGATAGATGTTCCTCCAGACTTTTGGTTTTTACACCCACTTCCAAATGCAATTGTTTAAACAATGCATCGAAAATTTCACGCCAAGTGCACTGTAATATAGCTAGTACTTTCTGACATTATTTAAATTCTATAAACATCCAATCTTTAAAACATCAAAATCTTGACAAATTATTTTTGCATGCGGATCACCGAACATATAACAACTTTTCTAAAGCTGATTGGAAAGGCTTCGCGGAGTTTACTGAAAACACCTTAACTGCGCTTCCCACACCAACCGACGTCCATCTAGGTGAACGTAAGTTCCGCAGGGCTGTCACTACTGCTGCAGCTCGCTTCATACCGGCAGGATGTATAACGGACACACGTCCAAACTTCCCTGCCGAAGCGGCTCTTCTAGCCGATGAGCGTGATAGCCTTCGTCAGGCCGATCCCGGAGATGCCCGTATCAGGGATCTCAACGCGGAGATTCGGCAACTGGTAAACGTACATAAGCGGAAGAAGTGGGAGGAGCATCTGAAGACCTGTAACTTCACCTCTAGTGTGAGTGAGCTTTGGTCAACCGTGAGGTCACTGTCCAATCCGACGAAGCACGACGACAGAGTCGAAATTTCTTTCGGCGACCATGCTTCGTCGGACCCGGAGCGATGCGCGAGCTATTTTAGCCGGCAGTTCAAAATGCATCCTCCGGTGGACAAAGCCAAGCGTCGAGTGACCAGAAGGCTGCACAGACTGCCAACAATCTGTGCGCCCCTTGCTTTCACTTGCGGCGAAGTTCAGGTGGCCATCGTGAAGGCGAAAGCTTCCAAAGCCATGGGCCCCGACGAAATATGCATGCTAATGCTGAAAAATTTGGGTCCTGCAGGGGTAGCGTACCTAACGGAGGTCCTCAATTTGTCTATGGCCACCCTCATCATCCCAGACATCTGGAAGGTGGGGAGAGTGGTCCCACTGCTCAAACTGGGGAAACCTGCCAACATAGGAGATTCTTATCGTCCGATAACTCTCCTTTCCCCGGTAGCGAAGACACTCGAGGCCTTGCTACTTCCGTATTTCACAAACCACTTGACCCCAGCGAAGCATCAGCATGATTTCCGTAAAGTACACAGTACAACAACAGCACTTAACGCCATAAACCTCAGATAACTCGTGGCCTTAACCGAAACCGTCCCTGTGAGAGAACGATTCTAGTAGCATTGGACTTGTCAAAGGCGTTTGACACCGTCTGCCATTCTAGAAGATAAAGAGGCTTCCTCTCTCCCACAGAGGCTCAAACGGTGGTCGGCAAATTATCTGAGTGGTCGACACTCGTCGGTAATGTTTAGAGACAAATCGCGTAAACTTCGAAAAATAAAACAGGGGGTTCCACAGGGTGGTGTCCTTTCCCCGCTACTGTTTAACTTTTACATTTCAAAGCTCCCTCAACCACCAGAGGGAGTCTCAATTGTCTCTTACGCCGACGATTGCTCGATCATGCGACTGGGAATGGAATTCATGACCTGTGTTCGAAAGTAAACGGGTATCTCTCAGAACTTTCTCGCTTCTTCACTGCAAAGTGTCTAGCCCTCTCCCCTACGAAATTCTCTGCGACCCTGTTCACAACCTGGACGAAGGGGGTCAGGCTACCGCTGGGAACTCACGTCGATGACACACCAATTCCGACGGTGAATTACCCCAAAATACTCGGAGTAACATTCGACAGCCTGCTCTCCTTCTCTGCGCACTCAACCGCTATTGTCAATAAAGTACAGAGCCGCAACAAGGTCCTCAAGTCGCTAGCCGGCAGTACTTGGGGCAAAGACAAAGAAACGTTGCTGGCAACATACGAGGCAATAGGCCGGCCGGTTTTAAACTACGTAGCGCCAGTGTACGCCCTCGCCTAGGCACGTCAGGAGGCATCTATATGAACTGACGGACGAAGTCCAGAGGTCCATCAAGCAACCTCTGCACCCATCAGCTTACCGACTGGCCCTGAACGGCATTCACAGGGAGTCAGTCTCGAGTTATGTACACTCTAGAC